CATCNGAAAATACCTGAAAATATCTTGATTTAATCAGGTATGTGATACATTAAAAAATGCTTTCCATAGAAAGAATCGAGAATTTTGATCGAAATTCAAAATTAAAAACAATTTAATTGAAAAAAATCTATTAATTATTAATGGGGGTGTTCCATATTTTTGTTACTCAGCGTATGTATACAACTATAAAAAGTGTGAGATTTGTTATATCAAATCATACAACAACAATGAATATTTAAAATAAACACTACATTTTTCACTTTTCAACCGACTCAGTTATATACGTCCATAGAAAGTTATTTATTACTCCACTGCCAAAGGAATTAGACAGGTAACTATTATTGGAATATAATTATTATACAGGCACAGTATTTTGTATACAGAAATACTGTGATACAGGGTCACGTTCGACTTGGGATACTGTCAACATTGAAATTCAAAAAAGTGGACTTGTATTTTTTTCAAGCAATTGACCAGAAATGTTCATAGGATATTCCTGAGAGTTTCGGTAATTTGTTGATTGTCCAATAAATTATTAGTTTTTATTACGGCCCTGATAAGCGGTCGACTGGAATCAATTTTTATGTGTAAAATGTGTTCGTAAATCTCTAATATTTCCTGTGAGGTTTTCCTACATCCTACAACTTCTAGAAGTTTGAGTAAAAGTTTTGCTCATTTTCGCTCTTGCGGTGTTCAATCGAGAGTCAATCAGTAATGAAAAACACGACTTATTGTTATAATATTTCCTAATTCAAAGTTTATATTGAGTTCTTGGGAAAAAATACATATTTATTGAAGTTTTTCTTTTTGAGGACAAAACACAAGCACTACAGTAAAATCCTTAAGGCGCTCTTAGAGTGGTGCCTGTGCGAAAGTAGCGATTCACATTGAATTTGAATTGCTGGAGATTAAATCCATTTGGAAAAACAGTGTCAGGAAGTTTATTCCACATAAACGCAGTTTTTCAGATGAAAGAGTTCTTAAACAGTGAAATTCAAAGTGTACTGAGTTGAACCTCAAAACGATGAGCAGCCACAGTCCGTCGCGTATTTCTGATATGTACCGCTCTTGGTGGAATCAAATGTGCCAAATCAATACATCCTACAACTTCTAGAAGTTTGAGTAAAAGTTTTGCTCATTTTCGCTCTTGCGGTGTTCAATCGAGAGTCAATCAGTAATGAAAAACACGATTTATTGTTATAATATTTCCTAATTCAAAGTTTATATTGAGTTCTTGGGAAAAATTACACCGCTCTTAGAGCGGTGCCTGTGCGAAAGTAGCGATTCACATTGAATTTGAATTGCTGGAGATTAAATTCATTTGAAAAAACAGTGTCAGGAACTTTATTCCACATAAACGCAGTTTTTCAGATGAAAGAGTTCTTAAACAGTGAAATTCGAAGTGTACTGAGTTGAACCTCAAAACGATGAGCAACCACAGTCCGTCGCGTGTTTCTGATATGTACCGCTCTTGGTGGAATCAAATGTGCCAAGTCACTTGAACACTTCAAGTGAAAATTTTCTGATTGATTCGGCCGTTACTTGATGAAGATCCATAGTAATTTCAAAAACTACACCTCAACAATTTGATCTCCACAAACTTTATTTGAAAAATATATCACAACATGTTTCGCTAAGACATTAGCTGTTGGCTAATGTCTTAGCCAATGTGATTTGTACCCAAGTACAAATCACTTGAAAAAGCTAATGTCTTAGCGAAACATGTTGTGATACATTTTTCAAATAAAGTTTGTGGAGATCAAATCGTTGAGGTGTAGTTTTTGAAATTTCAAGTGAAAGTATTTATAGAAGAGAGAAATCTCCAACCTTTCTTCGATGTTCCAGGCTATCAAGGTTAGACGTGATGTTCGCGACTTCAATCAGGCGGATGGCTCTTTTCTGAATGGAATCCAGCAACTTCAGGGTATGTTTGGGGGCAGAGCTCCATACATGAGAACAATACTCCAAAGAAGGTCTGTTCTGAGCTTGATAAAGCGTCAAAAGTTTCTGAAGTGTTTACAGTTTTCTGGTTCGGAACAGTGTTCCAAGCTTTTGAGAAACATCCTTTGCAATTCCAGCGACATGATTGTGCCAAGACATATTGGTGTCCATTTCAACACCAAAAAAACTTATCGAAGCAGAAAGCGGTTCGGAGACATTTATCTTCTTGGAGTTTGAAGAAAACCGATGCGTGGGTTTTTGTTGCATTGAATTGAACCTAGTTACTTTCACCCCTATTCTCAATCACTTCTAGATCATCATCAAGATATTCAACCTTTCGCTGAAGATGTGTCTCCGTTGCCGATGTCTTGGAATTCAAATGGAATGTCGAGACAAGTGTGCTGTCGTCAGCAAAGCAATATATTGTGGATTCTTGGTTTTTTCCAATAAGTCATTGATATACAATAAAAAGACGGTTGAAGACAATATGGATCCCTGGGGAACACCAGCGTTGATGGTGAAAGCATTCGAGAGATATTCATCGACGGCCACTTGTAGGGAACGTTCTTTCAGGAAGCAAAAAAGCCATACATAAAAATGATCCGACAAGCCATAGCATCGAAGTTTGGCCAGCAAACCCTCATGCCAAACACGGTCAAAGACCTTAGAAATATCAAGCGCAACAGCTCTTGATTCTTCATGTTTCTCGATTGCGTTATTCCAAATATGGGTGACATACGATAGAAAGTCGCCTGTTGATCTTTGTTTCCGAAAGCCATATTGATGATCGCTCAAGATGTTGAAGCCTTTTAGGATATTTTCCATATTACTGATAGCAAAGCGGCTGATCAATAGTTATTTGGAAGATTTTTCTTGCCCTTTTTGGGAATAGGCTGAACGCCAGCAAATCATTAATTAAAGTTTTGAAGATACTAAAGAAATAAACTTATGTGTCATTCTGGTGATAAGTGTACTGTATTTTGATGTTTTTACAGGACGAATCAAAACAAAATACTCTGATGTATTTTTTGAAACAGAGATCTAATACAAAGTATTTATTCATGATTCAACACCAGACAGTGCTGTTTCAAACTGCCATAGTACTCGTCAGTGGTGCTAGGTTGCACATCGAAATAATTATTGGACATAACCGATATGATATTTGGTACACACATTAGGTTTTAATGACAATACAATTCAATAAATACTGTACTACTGTAAATCCAAGATGACCGCAGCTACATAATGGCTGATAACATAGTTTTTCATAACTACCTCAATATGGGTATTAGATGACAGGGCTTGACTAGTAAAATAGTGGTACACTTTTTGAAAAAGATAAAAATTCAAGATGACCGCGGCTACAAAATGACGGATTACATATTACCTTGTAGTACTGATGCACTAAATGAACTAAACAGAATGAGAAGAATTGAGTAACAAAATTAAGAACTAAAAACTTGAAAATGAAATGAGTAAAAAATTTTTTTTAAGTAATTTCACGTAAAAACAATGATGTTGATGATGCACTAAAAACTGGAAAATAACTCAGAAGGTTCTAGGTAACAGTTATCACACCACTCTCCTCAGCAATCTACGTTATTGATCATATCTATGATGATATCTATGATAGGTAGAAACAGCGTATTCTGGTGTTAGTTCACGTCCCTTTGTTTTTGCGTTTTCGACCAGTTGAAACTATGAAAAAATTTTGGATCTTCAATTAGGAAAATGGGCTGGTGTTCATTTTATGAAATCAGATACCTAAGTTTATTATCTTTATAACTGAAATTCAGTGATATGCAATTTTTCTCAGGAAGTCAATACATGTGTTGTAATTAGAAAAGATGAATTCATTTACATTTCATTTTTCTCAAGCGTTCTTCCCGAATAAACAACGTTATAACCAAAATCGGGGCTTAGGAGCTGCACAGAAAGGTTTCTTTTGCCGTGGGACAACCTCATTGAAAATATTGAAGGTTTCTTATATCCACATGTTTCAGGTACTGGATGGAATTTTTGAGAATCAGTAGTATATAAAGACAGTTGAAATAGTGCGTTTCCTGAAATACTCCATCTACTTATAATATTAGATTTTATTTAGTATATATTACAATACGATTTTATAAACAATAGCAATTTGCTTCGTGCATCGTGTCGATCCAACGCCTCCCTCGATAAAACGGAAGACAATTCCTAAAGCTGGTCGCACACAGATCGAAACATTTTGTTTCGTATACATTGATTCCGACATGGAAAAAAGTTAAAACAATTCAGAAGGAATAACCGTTGAGTGAGTTAGTTCCAGCTTTTCTTTTGGAATTATATTGACACATCCCATAAATATTCATAGAATTTTCAGGTTCAACCATACTTGCTTGCAACTCGTAAGAAACAAATTGACAGAGATTTTCTCAACATAATGCATTCGAAAAAGAATATATTTTTTTTCCTTGTGGGAGTCTGTTGCTACGATATTTCAAATCCTTATTTATAATAATAAAGGTGAGTTATCAAAAAGACGCGCTATTTCACAGTTATAGTAAATTTTCATAATTTGGTGTAGTACCTAGCACACGACTTAAAAGGAAATTATTTATCACCCACTATGTGAGCCAAAAAATAAGCTACGTAAGCATTATCTAGCTCTACTCTTAATGAAATTTACATTTTACTTAGTCCTATGCAAATTATTCTGGAACTCATGTAAAAAAAATAATAGCAGACAATACAAGAAACTTCATTTCCACAATATATAATCATCTAATATTGAAGACATTTCTTTTCAAATACACAAGACAATGGATATTATCTTTCACGATATTCAAGCACGAAAATATAAAATGTTTGCAATTCTGTTGAGTCTGATGAAGTTGATTTGTTTGGCGAAATTTTCAGAAAGTATAGATGTTTTGTCTCTTGAATTGTGACAAACACGATATTTACCAATACTTCCACTACCAATGTTATCTTCTGTGATAATTCCTCACATAAATATAGCAAACGAATACATTTTATATGAAAAACCTTCTGATGCAAATCACTCCTAGAAATATTACCTAATAGAAACCATAACTGCGCGCAGAGTAACACAATCACTTTCATCTTCTATAATTATTTTTCTGTAACTAATTCACTGTGCGATTGCATTCGCAATATTGAACTGGTGAGCAGGAATATTATTCACTTTCAGTATAATTTTGAAACTCGTTATTATCTCTAATTGCCGTTTTTCCGTACAGTTAACCCAAGTACAGCCCCATGTCTTTAACACAAGCAAACTAAAGTGAATTTAAAAGTATTGAGGTCAAGATATACCAAGAAATAACTTTCCCTTATTCTCGAGCTAATGTGAATATCAATGACTTCGACTGAATCGGTGAATGGACGGTTTCCACTTTGATATCAAAACTGGTTTCTTTTCTGAATAGCTAATAGTTTGAAGTTCACCACTGCTTACAGATAAGCAAGGAAAAATGAAGAAACAAATGTAGTGATGTAGGTGAGGGCAATGTGACTTAATCAAGGTCATGTGTAGCGTAGTCATTAGATAAAAACACAATGGAACCGTATGTAGTTCCTATTGCATCGCATAGAATTATTTTTGTTGGTCTGTTATATCGCAGATTTCTTTTCTATTCATGCAATATTTCTAGGATTAGTTAACATGGGCTGAAAAGACCCAGGCCTAAGAAAGAAAACGCATTTTTTTTGTTCAAAATTAGCTTTATTCATCAACGTAATCTCCATCAAGAACCACACAATCATTCATACGCCGCTCTAACATTGCTATACCACTTTTATAGAACGATTTATCTTTTGCCTTTAAATGGGCCTCAGTTCAAGCAATATTTTTTCCGGTGAGAATTTTTTTAAGGTCTGCGAACAGCCAGTAGTCGCTGGGAGCCAAATCTGGCGAATACGGTGGATGTGGGAGTAGTTCGTCGAAGTTCAATTCATGTACTTTTGATTGAATTGTTACACGGTGCGTTGTTTTGATGAAACATTTTTTGCCATATGCGGTCATTTATTTGCAATTTCGGCCTCAAAACGCTCCAATATAGCTATATAATATTCACTGTTGATGGTATTTCCCTTCTCAAGATAGTCGATGAATATTACACCAAGCACATCCCAAAAATATCCCAAAATACCGAGGCCATAACCTTTCCAGCTGATTATTGTGCTTTCGGGCGCTTTGGACGACGTTCACCAGTTGCTCTCCACTCAGATGACGATCGTTTTGACTCCGGAGTGAAGTGATGGATCCATGTTTCATCCATTGTCACATATCGACGAAAAAAATACAGCTTGTTATGTTCAAACATGGCCAAACCTTGCTCAAAATCATCAATAACATTCTTGTTTTTGGTTTACAGTGAGCTCGCGCAGCACCCACTATGAACAGAACTTTTTCATAGTCAAATGCTCATGCCAACACGTTCTTTTGATATCTTTACAATGTCAACTAATTCACGCAACTTCACTTTTCAATCATTCAAAGCGATTGTGGATTTTTTTATGTTTTCTGGTGTGACTGCCTCATTTGGACGTCCACGTTGTTCTGCATCATCGGTGTTTCTATGACCACGTTTGAAGTCAGCAAACCAACGTTTAATTGTTGTTTCTGATGAAGTGGAGTCCCTTATAACACTTTTCAAGCCATTGCTTCGCTTGAACGGCATTGTTTTCCATCAAGCAACACTGTGAAATCAAAACACAAAATTGTTTTTGATCCATTGTTTTGAAAATAACAAAAGTAGTGACACTGTTAGCACAATAATTCACAAACTTATGAGTAGAATATCATGAAATTTCAACAGCTTTCTTTTGAAGGTTAGTAAGTACTAACTGAAAGCGTCATCTATGTGTTAGGCCCGAGACTTTTCAGCCCATGGAGTATGTTTTTACCGGCATGACCCGTGATGCTTTGTGATGTTGGAACTGCATCAATTTAGTATAGGACCTAGCAACGTTTTCGAGAAAGAATTTCAGAACAGTTGGTTTCTTGATATGCTGTCTTTCTTGCTATTCCGGGCAAAACCCTTAACTTTAAAAGAGTTTTTTAAAGCGTAATTTTTAATTTTTTGCCATTAGATAGATCCACCAGACATCAATTTTTCATTGCCAGGCATTAAAAAATTCTTTCAAAGTTAAGGATTTTTACCTGTGCAGGTAAGATGCGCATTAATAAACGCAACTACTAACGTCAGCCAGGTAGCCCGGACCGAAAGAGTAAGAGAGCCAGCATATCAAAAAACCAACTGTTTCAAAATTCTTGTTTTTCAAACGTTGCTAGCTCCCTTACTAATTCTATATCATGCTATCCTGACATGGAATATATACAGGGTGTTTCAAATTCGATCCTCACCATTGGGATCTCGGAAACTATGAGAGATACGAAGATGATTAAATTTTGTCTGGCTTCATGTTTCGAAGGGTTCGAAAATTAATTGTACTTTCACATCATCACTTTTTCCCTGCTACATAATATCGTTTTCAGATTTGCTATCCGACGTTTCGTTTTCTGGACAAAATCATTAAATTTATTTTTTATTATGGGCGCTTCAATGGATTCTTTCTGTTTTGAATGGAAACCTGATTTTACTTTTTCAATGAAATATCATAAGTTATCATTCTTTTTCGAAAAATTGGATATATTGGAAACAAATAATACTTATCATAATAGGCTTTGACTTTGATGTTTCTAAATTTGACTTTCAATTTGTTACACCCGATGACTTTTTGTTATTGTACAAGTTACTGAATTTTTGGCAAAAAATGACTTTCACGAATGAAGAAAAAGAGATATGGTAAAATTTATTACAAATACGATATAGAAACAGTGTTAGAACATCGTCAATGTATTTACACTTGTATCCCGAAAGACGACAACCACATCGAACTATGCTCAAGTTATTGGATCAAAATCTCACCGAATTTGGTTCATTTGAAAAGCCTAGAAAAAAAACGGAGACAGAATGGACCCCAGGAAACTAAAGAAAATTTGATAATTGAGGTATGTATGAGGTAAGTTGAACATTGTGTCCTTTCCAATAAAAATTATTAATTTGCAAATAAACATGAGCCCGGAGAAATCTACACGTCAAATTTTCTCCGAAATGAATATTTGTCATACAAGTGCTTGGAAACATATCAAAGAAGCGGTTTAAAATGTTACAAAATACATATATCTCAAAAATTGCATCTTGGCGATTAGAATTTTGTAATTGGGTAATAAGAAGATCTAATTTTCCTGTTTTCCTGGAAAATGTAATTTGGACAGATGAAAGCACTTCTACGCATTGTGGGGTATTCAACCGAAATAACAAACACATTTGGAGCATAAACAAACCCAGGCAGTTCCGAGAAATTTGACCTGAAGTGCGATTTAGTATTAACGTGTGGGCAGAAATTTACAAAGATAGAATTTTGAGTCCTCATTTATTTGACGGAATTCTGAATGGAGAAACCTATCACCAGTTTTTAATGTCGATTTTCGAAGACTATTTGGATGATCTACCTTTGGCTAACTATAACAACATCTGGTTTCAACATGATGGTGCTCCACCGCACACTACCAGACGACTATCTAATTACCTGACTGAAAGGTTTGGTGATAAATGGGTAGGGAATAATGAGCCAGTGAAGTGGCCAGCAAGGTCTCCAGACTTAAGTGTTATGGATACATTCTTATGGGGTATACTGAAAAATAAAATTTATTGTCAGAGGGAATATCAAAATAATAAGGACCTTCAACACATCATTGTTAGAGAGTTCGGAAGATTGAGGAGGAGGGAAATTAATCATGTAGTGAATAATATTCGAAGAAGGCCACAGTTGTGTTATCATGAATAAGGCTAGCATTTTGAGCATTTGCTATGAGTTACTTTTGTCTTTACATTTTAAGTAATTATTGTTATTTGTTCAAAGTTCTATTTTCGTTGAAAAGGACACAATGTCTAATTTATCTCATACACCATTTATCAAATTTTGATTGTCGATTCTGTTTCCGTATTTTTTCATTAGTTTTTCAAACGAACCAAACTTGGTGAAATTTTGATCCAATAACTTGAACATAGTTCGATATGGTTGTCGTCTTTCGGGATACAAGTTTAAATACATTTCCGATGTCCTAACACTGTTTCTATCGTATTTGTAATTTTGTATCATATCTCTTTTTTCTTCATTCGTGACCGTCATTTTTTGCCAAAAATTGAATGACTTGTACAATATTCAATTCAATTCAATTCTTTATTTATCCATTCGAGCAAATACAGCTATAGGACAAGTCAAAAAACATATAGACATACAACAAAGTACAGTGAGAAATGGTGAGGATCGAATTTGAAACACCCTGTATATAGTTCTTTCAACTATTACGTGAGAAAATGTGTTCTATTATTTTAAGTTTTTTTTCTACTTATAAGTCGTCGCCGGAAAACGCTGGGCTTGTTGCGTTTCTCCTCCCATCTTTTTATGACACCTTTACCAACATTCCTGTTCTCTGTACTAGTTTTGCAGACCCTTAATTGAATGTTTATCTATAATTCTTATATTCTTCCGGAGATAATTTGGGTTGACCATAAATAGCTTGCCTCATGTGAAGTGCTTGGCATAAAAATGACGAGCTGCCTATGTCATCTTGTTGCATTATTTACATCTAGAAGCTCTCTGGTCTTCTTTGTTCAGGTGTCCTCTTAATGTACAATGTAACTGTTAAATCAGCTCTTCAGTTTTTCTTTCAGACGGCCTGTTTATAAAGGTTTTTCCATGTGTTACTAGGTATATTTTCCAAGTTTTCTCTGATCTTGTTCCATAAAGTTTGTTACACTTCAGTTGGTTCAGGGCCAATTTATGGAGTTGATGATCCGTATCTAGCTCTCTCATCAGCTTTATCGTTGACTGTAATTTCTGAGTGTCCAGAAACTCACTATAATCAATCGATTTTGTTGAGGCCTCAAATTATTATACTTTGCGAGATTGACACTTTCTATTGTACAACGAACGTGTATTGGCCGAGTGTATATTCCAGTTTATTCCACAGTATAATCCAGTTTCCATCCCGTGTTTGTTGTTCGACCCATCATTTTTTCCATAAAGATGTTTGGACAACATTACTTCTACATCCTGATCAGTTTGGGATTCTATATATTCAGCCTTTTTCAACAGTTGTATATCTTCAACTTGGAGATGTATAGGTCATGCTCTTGATAAATGCTACTATGGTCGTTTTGGATGGGCTTATGTTGTGACCTCCTTCCTTGCTATCACCCGTTCCACTACGGTTTCTCCCACAGTGTCATGTTTACTAACCTTCTCTAAACCGTCTACCCACCTGCAGCTTGTATCAACGATTACTCTGGCGACTGGATCATTGATTCTAAAGACATATCATCGTTTGAGCATATTCACTGCAAGGCAACTAGATAAAAACAATGCCCATAACAAAGTATTCGAAATCCAACACCGGATAGCACTGTTTCGATATCCCAGTTGTGCCATGTTGGACCACGAACATCTGTTTGATTCAAGCTGGATTTGTACTTGAAGAACAAGCGTAAGTATGAGTAAGTATGGATACCTCCCCTTGTGAACACGCAATCTCTGTGATTGATAGAAAACTCAAACCTTATTTATCCAAGATAAACAAGGATTCCCACGTTGAGTTAGGTCGAACAATGAATTCGTGGTCAGGTCTAGCACCAGTGATGAGGCACATGACTGGTCGAAACAGGACTGTCTGGTTGGACCACGAATGTTTTTTTAGTTTTATCTAATTGCCTAGTACTGATGACTACAGAGAAAAACAGATGGCGATTGTATACGTTTTGGTTTTTTCAGATCACTCTTCTGCTATTTTCCAGCGCGATTTTTTTATACCACCAACATATAGGTTGCTACAGGCTTGGCTAGTATGGATTATCGATTATGTCTTATCAATTAATTTCCATCGATCGGCTTACATTTTCTCACGGTATTTGAAATTATAATATGATATTTTCTGATATTTCTTAATGTTTTTTGGGTATATAACCTTCTAGAATCTGAAAAATAAACAAATCTAAATCAATAGAGAATCTGCAAAAGTGTACTGCATAATATAAACAAGTGAAGAGTCCAATCAGTGGTCGACGTTAAGAAAAACAATTTTTTTCACTTGAAAACTTTCAACTCATTTGTGAATAAATAGCCTGTATTACTTTTGACATAAGTCTCGTTTTCACAATGGCAACCAAGTACGATCCCTGTCCATAAAGCTATTTGCAATACACAGAGAAATTTTAATTTTTTTCAATTGATTTTCTATTGGTTTATATTTCGCATTAACTTTTCACTTTCCCCTTTACCAAACTTCAGCAGATTCTCTATTAGTTTAGCTTTGTTAATTTTTCAGATTGAAAAAAGTTATATATCCAAAAAACAGTAAGAAATATTTAGTTTCAAAAAAAGTGTTTCAAAGATTATTCTTTGATGGTAATAATACTGTAACCGCTCAGGTTGTGCTTTTTTGATTTAAAAAATAAATTACACTTAGTTCATAATTTATGACTATTGGTAATAAAATTTGGAAAAAATTCTGTTAATTCGTTTTTCAGGATTATATGAAAATGATAAAAACTAAGCCCAGCAAAAAAACAATTTGTGACTTTTAGGATTTTTTAATTTTTATACATTCATAATATTTTAGAAATAAGTATTTACATGGAGAATTGTAGTATTCCTACCTATATTCAATAGTCTCAAAGTTATCTTATGATTGAGCTATCAATAAATACTTTTTACATGCATCGAAAATTTCAAATATCTGATTGTGCTTTAATATTAATATCACTCACAAAATTATACACTATACAGCAATATTCACATAGATTTATACAAAAGATTTTCTATCATTGGAAGTAACCATTAGTAATGACTTTGGCAACTTAAATTATAGGACATAGGATATCGAGCAGGGTTCAAGTTTTTTAACTCAGCCTGGTTATTAGGTTTCCAGTGCGAAAGATTAGGGATGACAGTTTAGAAGAGGATTTTTCAAATACATCGAATATCCTTGGTCTAAATTCCTCATTATCGAACTCATATGAATGAAACAATTATTAATAACAAAATTAGTTTGAAGTAGATTAAATGAGTAAAATTTCCTCATATCGAACTTCTATCAATCACATCATCTTTCAACGAACATAATCTTCATTGTGTAAAATGAAATTGATTAAAAATCTTGAAGGAATTGATGGATGGAGCCGTTAGTTACTACGTGGTAGGAGATCATCATGAAAAATGGAAAATAAAATTTTACTATGTTTTTGACCACTTGTAGGTATTTGTAACCACAGTTACTGCAGTTTCGTCCTATAAGAACATTTTCAAACGAATACAATGTAATAAAATTATAGTAACAAATACAAGTGGTGAAAAAACATAGAAAGCTCTATTTCCCATACAATTTTATTTTATTTTGAAAATGTCCCTATAGGACGAACCTGCAGAACCTGTAAGTGTTAACAAAATATAGCAAGTTTTATTTATCATTTTTCATGAAATTACTTGTTTGAAGTTACGGCATTTTGAAAATAAATACAGATTTGATTAACATTTATGTAAGCGGCTTCTAGATTTGAACAAAAACCATTTCCGTGACTATCAGAAATATAATTGTGGAAGTCCAGACCAAATTATAAAACAAAGTTTATATCTGAACATAAAATATAATGCTCATATAAGATAAGCAAGGGGTATATATCATCATTATTCTTCTATTGTTTTACTTTGGAGAAACTTTGATTAATGTTTTTATGACTTTATTAATAGTTATTTCATTATCACAAACAGAAAAGCATTCCATAGTTACAGTACAATAATTGTTGGTGCTTGAAAGTTAGAGAATGCTTTTGACTTTTAAATGATGATATTTATAAAGAAGTTCATGAAAGACGATAGTGAACTATTTTTCTTGTCTGAAAATTTCAATAATTCATATTGGGAATCTCTGATTAGACATATTTACGAAAGCCCTTTAGTATTCATACAAATTCGTTCCTGTGAAACATATCATTACATCAGAAAAAAGATCCCTATTTCTATTTACACTCAAGCAGTTTCATAGTCATGTCGCTAGGTGACGCTAGTGCCAACTCCAGTCGAGAACTAACATTTTTGTACAGTTCGTCATTACATTTCTTTGATTCTTTTCTTGATGACAAATCAAGTAACGTTGATTTCTTCGTCGCTATCATTAGAGCTCTCGTAATCCACCGCATCAAACATATGATAATTTACAGGAGCACAGTGTCCTGTGTTATTCAGACCTGTTTCCCTCTGATGGTCGATAGGAGAATTAGCTGGTGAAATGTCCTGTACGTCGCTCAAGTCGAGCTTTGGCTTGTCCCCGTCAGCATCGCTCAGATCGGGGTGTGGATTGTTCTTGTTGGGCAAGGTCTGTTCTCGGGATCCACCTGCTGCAAGCAGTTCTCTTTCTTTGGAATTCCTCCATTTCATTCTACGATTTTGGAACCATATTTTCACCTGTAAAAAATTAAACTGCGTTATTATTACGTATAGAGAAAATTTTGTTAATATAACGTACAGAGTGAATTAAGACATACAACGCGATTAGTAACAGTATTTGAAATGGGTAAAGGACCAGCTCGGTTCATTATGAGTCTCTTTCAATTCCAAGTTATGTTGTGTCTGTTTTCTGTGCTCAAAACATGGACAATATATCAATTAGAGAAACTTAATATTACTATAAAAACTTAATTTACAGAAATTTCTCTTTGTGAAAGATGTACTTTCAGGTGCAGTCAGCATAATTCTGAAAGCAATTATGTAAAATCACGTTATGCAATTCAATTTCAATCATGCATTCATCCAGATGATTGGCGTCTTTGATAGAGGCTGGCATCTTAGGTGCAGTTTATAAACGGCAGCTCTTAGATTTGTTGAAGTAGCAACTCTGGCTAACTCCCTACAGTGCTTTAATTCATATTTCACCAACTCTCACTTCTTGCTGGATTAAGAAAATAGAACGTATATTTTTGGGATGAATCAAAAAAACCTTTGCCGTGGATGTTCATTTGGTCTCTATGAGATACCAAATATGGCATCATCAAGAATTGGAAAACGATTGGATTGATAGTCAGTATTCTAGATTTGATTCCCTTGTTTATGGCGACCTTATTTAGAGACATTATTATAGTTTGCGTATGTAATCTGATTTGGATGAAGATATTTCCTGCTACCTACCTTGAAGTTATCTGAAGATGAATAATATCAACCAATTTTTGAATAAACTATACCATTGTTTCTCTCCTTGAACAATGAGTTCCTTATGATGATACCTTTTTCATACAGTAGCTACTGAACCATGCTCTTTTTCCACGTTTGTTTATTTTTGTGGCGTTCAAAAGTCCTAGTAGCAACTCTCAGATCGATTTCTTTTACATCAGAAGACTACTCAAATATTAATTCGGTGCATTAATCAGCATTTGCCAACGATTGATCCTCATGTTCTGGAATTTACCGAAGCCAAACTGAGGATTTTATTTTCAAGCTCATAGTAATATTCCTCATTTATGCATAAATACGGGATGTTTTTCTTTTTCCGAAGTAACTTATCTTGCCTCCAAGAGGAAATATGATTTGTGATTACAACATATAAAATCAGTATTTTCATAAGTTGCGTCTATTGACCATACAATACAAAGCACTAGTTTCTTCACTTGCAAAGTTACGAAGCTTTTGCTATGAGCTAGCTTACTCTGATTACAATTGAGCCAACAAGGATTGTTGACCAAGAGGGTGAGTTTGTCTTGTAGATTTATAGACGACAAAAAAGCATTTGTTGGTTTTATGTTGCATTTTATGTGAAAATTAAAAGGCACATGATATTTCCTTATCAATGAAAAATCAATCAATCAATACGTTACGAGTGGTAAAATCATGTTAAAGCTTTTACCTGAGGTATCTACTACTATTTGTGGTAAGAATATTGTCGATGGCGTTCCTTCGTGAGTCGCCACAACGTACCCCATCATATACTTTAGATAACTTGTGATGCACTGTTTGAAACCTTTGGTGTAGTAATGAATATTACTGGAGTTTACTTTAATCTTCCTCCTGAGGAAGGAGGTTAGGAGGAAGATTAAACTTCCTCTTGAAGATGATCACTTGGTGATTAAAACACGTGTCGAGGTGTTGAAAATAACGGTTTGGTGTTGGGACTGAACTTCAGTAATATTCTTCACATCAGATAAAATAAATATACATTTTTAGCAAAACTACCATCAACAATTATGTTATAATTATCTCCTCCTAATGGAAACTTGGGTCGTGAACTATTTTTGCGTTGAACTGCTACAAACTCTATTCAATGAGTGAAATTATTGCCAAGAATAGGCAAATAGTATTCGAACCCAAATAAGTTTTTGATTTCCCAATTACCAATTCGTATAATGAATTGGAAAATTGTATATTATGTTAAAGGGGTTATATTTTTAATGTTTCAGGAGGACTTTCTTTCAGTTTGTCCTTGAAAGTTACTTCTTTGCATGATCTACATATCCACGTATAGAGTTACTTATTTTCAAATTGATTACTTCCTTCCTTTCTTTGGAAGATTCCCTCACCCCTTTTTTTTGAATCAAGATGGAGTAGTAGAAAGCCAAAAACTTTCTTTCCCAAAAATGTATATTATGTATTATTCATTCCATTCATTCTCAGTTAAATAATTTACTTAAATCATTCTCTGCTTATCACATTATTTGTATTTTCCTTATAATCTTCAAAATTATTCATTGCGAAATATTAATGCCCATTTAGGAATGGTGTTTTTTTATGAAAACTTTATGTTACCAGTTTTTATCGCAGTGAATTTACTCCAGCTGACACATATTGTGGTTTTGTGAATTTCTTATAGTGAAAATATTACATTGAATTGTATCAGGAAGTTGGAGTATTTTTTCCACAAAAGCGCAGTATACTTATATACAGTAGTCCCACTTAGCGTCGGTCCCTTTGATGTTGGTGTCCAGGAGTTTCAGTTTTTACTATGCTGACGTATTTGACACTAATGACATTTCTCCCTACTACAATCTCAACCAAAGCGTCTAAACACTGCTCAACATAACAACTGTGTCCTGTGTTATTCAGACCTGTTTCCCTCTGATGGTCGATAGGAGAATTAGCTGGTGAAATGTCCTGTACGTCGCTCAAGTCGAGCTTTGGCTTGTCCCCGTCAGCATCGCTCAGATCGGGGTGTGGATTGTTCTTGTTGGGCAAGGTCTGTTCTCGGGATCCACCTGCTGCAAGCAGTTCTCTTTCTTTGGAATTCCTCCATTTCATTCTACGATTTTGGAACCATATTTTCACCTGTAAAAAATTAAACTGCGTTATTATTACGTATAGAGAAAATTTTGTTAATATAACGTACAGAGTGAATTAAGACATACAACGCGATTAGTAACGATTATTAATCTNAAAAAATATATATGAAAATGATAGTGTAATACAAAAAGCAAACACAATAATGAGAACATTTACACAGTAATTTTTTTTATAGATGATACATACTCGATAAGTGAACAAACACATGTAAAAGTACATTACTAAACACCTAATAAATATACAGTCTAATACAAGAACCCCACGAGAAAAGCAATACGCTCAAAAAATATATATGGGAATAACAGAGTACTTAAAAAAAGCAAACACATTAATAAGAACTTTTCAAAAGTTCGAACATTTTTGAATGAGTAATATGTGGGATAGCGGTTTCATATTGAAATCTTTAATAATTTTGAGAGTTTCAGTTCTAATTCCGTCAATTCCAACTGATTTCTTATCCCTCAAACGTTTCAATATCGTAATCAGTTCGTTTTCGTTCGTAGGAAATAAAACAAACGAGTTTGCACTGAGATTTCTATTCAGAATATAATTCTGGTCTCTGGTAATTTTATCGGCAAGTGTTTTTCCGGTTTTTGCAAATTTTTTATTGAATTCGTTGGCGATGCTAGTTTTGTGGGTTATCAGCAGACCTGAGACAATTTGATATATTATGCTTCACTGGAGATAGATCAATGGGTGAAGACACTTCTGGTTATTTTCAATTTGCATGCGATCATTTCTTACACCATTAAAGTATTTCAAAGAAACTCCAACATCAATGGCATCAATGGGCGGATATACACCTTTCCTTTTATGAAATTCATATGAACTGCCAGGTGATGAAATTTCTTTGACTTGCATAAATATCTCACTTCAAGCAAGAAAGTCATATAAAAAGAACTAAGAATGATACAGTAAAACTCATCTTGTGAAATAAAAATAAAAAAATCAACTTTCTGAAAACGTATGAGAAAGTGGAAAAACAAATAATTTCAAGCTCTTCAGCCGATTTCTGTACACTTACAATTTTTAGATATTTCACAATAAGATGTTTTATACGACTCAATGGAACAGCTTTCAAAATGATAATCTACGCATATGAATGAATTTCTTAGATTATTCTTTCAGAGAGAATCAGATTTGACTCTGAAATTCCAGCACAAAGAAGGTAATACAGAATAGAGTACTTAAATTCATTTCTTGCTTCTGAAATTGAATAGTTTGCTAGAGTATAGAGTACGAGAAGTTTAAATAAACTACCCAAAATGAATATAGAGACACATCCTTAAAATCCAATACGTATCCAATAGTACTAATTCTCATCATGTTCCATTTAGTTGTTGATTACTTTTTTTACTTTTTTTATTTCTTTTTGTAGTTTTAGCTAAAAAATCATTAATATGAAAAATTCTGTATTTAGTTTCACTTTACTTTAGTTCGTGATAGGTATTGAATTTTAAAATTTAAACAATGAATGTTGATGTATTGGGTAGAAGGAGGATACTAGGGTGTACCTCAACGAATTAAGTTGCTAGAGCAGTGACATTGATCGAAGTAGGGTATTCAAGGCGTCGTGTAGCCCAAATGCTTAATGTGAGTCATTCTGCGGTTTCCAGAGCTTGGAATCGCTACCAAATTTACGGAATAGTGAAAAGAGCCTCTTATCCCAATCGACAAAGGCCAACAACCTGCAGAGAAGATCGTGCAAAATCGCCTTATAGAAGCTACGGGAAAGCGAATTTCGAACCAAGCGATACGAAACCGACTTCACGAAGTACAACTCCATGCAAGACGACCTGCTAGAGCCCCTGTATTCACTCCAGCTTATCGAGGAAATTGTAGAAATTTTTGTCAAGAGCATCGTAATTGGCATTTAGAGCAGTGGGCCAATGTATTGTTTACAGATGAAAAAAAAATCATGTTATTCAACAATGACGGACGTGTTCGGGTATGGAGACGTCCCGGTAAACGCTATTTGGATGACTGTGTGCAAGAAATTGTTCCATTTGGAGGTGGATCGATAATGATATGGGCGGGTATAACTTTGACAGGATACACGGACCTTGTGGTATTTCGGGAAGGGACTTGAACGGCTGTCCGTTACATAGAGGAGATATTGGAACCTCATGTCGTCCCATTTGCCCAAAATATGGGCGCTGGGTTCATTATACAACAAGATAATGCCAGGCCACACCTAGCCAGGGTCGTGAGAAATTTCCTACAGGAGCACAATATTAATGTCATGAGATGGCCAGCTAAAAGTCCGGATTTGAATCCTATTGAGCAGCTCTGGGATGAACTGGAAATACGTTTGAAGGCTCATCATCAATTTGGTGAGAAGCTTGCCTCGTCGTTGTGCCGAACTTCTTAGATCCAGGGGTGGACGTACTCACTATTAATGTACATTTTTCTTAATTTTTTTCTGAAATAAATTTTATTTGTTTTTGACACTTATTTGTATTTCTTTTTAATCGTATTACCAAACAGCATTTT